AATCGCCATTGATTTGATTTAAGTTAGCCGAGTTTGTTAGCGCGTCAAGTTTGTGCGGGTTACGCGTTCATTCGCCTTTACAATAACAACAGCAACATCACTAACAAAAACAACAACAACTACAACAGCAAAAACTGCACAGCTCACTCGCCCTATATGGGGCAACTAGAGATTGCGAACGGGGGCATGGGAAATAGTTTCCGAAAATCAATCATGCGTAGTTGCTGGCGCAGCTGTGGGGCTGTGGGGCGACTGCGAGCTGCAGTTCGTGTGGCGGGGGATGCACGAGGCGAAGGTAAAATGCATAATCTTGTTGTCGACGCTGGCAAGTTCAGTGACTGAAGCTAATTGAGCAGGAGAAAGGTAGCGGAAAGCAATTTGTCATTTGATTGAAAGTGAGTTTGATTCATACAATGGTGGAAGGGATGGGCGTTCGATAATGAGGGCAGCTGATGATGACGACAGCAATGCCCAGCAAATCGGAACAATTTACGGCCAAATGATTTCATGTACCAGCCATCGACTTGGCTGATCAGCATGAGGCTACTCCATTAATTAACACAGCTAAGATATTCAAGTGAAATGCTGCGCTGTCTCTCACTCTCTCGCTCTCTCTCTCGCTCTCTGTCTGTCTGTGGAGAGCGTTTCTTATCGACGCATGAGTGGGGGCTCTTTCGCACGTTCCACATGCATTGAACTCGCCTGTGCCTGCCTAGCTAGACCCCTTTTGTATTGTTTTCTCTCTTTTGTCTGATTAATAAAAACACAGAGCGCAAATTGGAAGGGAAATTGCTGTCACTCAATCAGCCGCTGGCGACGTGTTCGTTCTCTCGCTCTCCACTTTTCTCTCTCTCTCTCTCTCTCTGTTGCTGTTGCTGTCGTCGGCAATTGCATTAAAGTCAGCCTGTTGCCAGCAGCGTTCCCGTCGCACCATCATTAATACACCGCATCAGTTTAATTTAATGCAACGCAGCAATTTTATCAAAACACCAACAACAACAGCCATGTTATCGACAATAACATGGGGCAGAAGCAATTGCCATTAACGCGTCTCAAACTTCGCTCTTCCCTCCCCTCTCCTCCCACCGCTGTCGCACTCGAACTTCTCAGTTGCAGACGCTGGCATTGCAGCTTGCAGTCGTTCGGCTGTTGCTGTCGCTTATCGAGCGTTTGTCGCCGTTGTTGTCAGTCGATAAATGTACGTAGTATCGCCGGCTCCTGCAGTCTATAGAGTACCGTCTCAGGTCACGTTGCCGTCGGCGTCTGCATTCGACTCTGACATGTCAGAGGGGCGCCGATGTCTGCAATTGATTTGATTGTTGCAGGCATTGCGCATAGCTCGGATACATATCTGTTCAATGCCTCGCCCAGCCCAGTTATGTCTGGATCTGGCTGTCAAGTCGCCTCGCCGTGATATGCAGTTTTGATGGGCAACATCGGCAATTGGCACGATATTTGATTTGATTGACATGGCGACATGGAGCTTAGGCTCCCTACTTAACTCTTCTCTTGCTCAGTTCAGTACAGTTCAGCTCAGTTCAGTTCGGTTCGGTGTGGTACGCCTCGGTTCGGTTCGATCTGATGGCACCTTTGTCGTGTTATCTGTCAGGCACTGGCCTAATCAGATATTTTTGCATGCGATTCACTGTCAAAATTCTATTAAGGCTGTCGGCTTAGTTATGTCATGTCAGCAGTATGCGGGCTCTCTCTGTATCTCTCTCTCTCTCTCTCGCCATGTGAAACTGCCAATAAATATGCCTTTAATTTGCACTGGCACGTATGTAGTTCCAGCTGGGCCTGTTATCGTTCCTTGTCGTTGTTGTTGTTGTTGTTGTTGTTGTTGCTGCATTGCTGTTTGTACCGCTTGTTGGCAACAATATTGCTATCGGAGTAGCTGCAAGCAACAAGCTTCGTTAAATTCGACCTGGCTATCAGCAGCGACAACAACAAACAGAGCTACGCTAAGCCTGCGCGAGCCTGTTGTAGCTATAGTTCAAATCCAGATTGTCTGACACACCGACAGTTCACAAAACTGGCGCAAAAAATACATATATATATATATGTATATGTGTTCGGCCAGACAATAGAAAAAAACAACAAAAACGACGACGACGGCGTCACAAAAAATGGACTCTGCCGCATTTCCGGCAGCAGTCAACATGGCGGATGGTCGTGACGCCGTTTCATGCACAAATAATAAAAAAGCAACTATGCCATGGAGCCAGAAGACGGCAGCGGGCAGCCGTGGTCGTCTCTTCATATTTTTGACGCTCGTTCCCCCACATGTTATGGCACCCAAACAATGGGAGCCTGATGACTTTGTCATGGTACGAAATAGAGTAGCCTAAGCGCAATGTTTCTCTTAAAGCGAATGACACCTTAAGCCGTTGCGACTCGACATGGACTGGGCACTGTTTTTTTTTTTTATCTTTTGTTTTCTTTTGATCATTTCTAACTCTTGCTGCAATTTATTGTTGGGATATCAATTTGGTTTTTTAGGGTATTAGCACGTCCAGTGGTTAAAGTTTACTTTTAAATTGCCCATTACTTTTTATGATGTTCAATAAAATCCCAAAACATTTCGTCTCTGTCTCTCTCTATCTCTCTCCCTCTACCGTTCTGTCTTTTTTTGTTAAGTTTTTTATCAATTCTTGTTTATAGTTGGTTTTTTAGTGGCGCGTTTGATTGCATTTCGCACAGCAGTCGACTTGTTTTAAGATTTAACAAACATACGTATGTATGTACATACATATACTTATATATAGTTGTTTATATATGTATGTATATACGCATGTGGCTGTTCTAATGAAATTCTCCTCTATATTTGCAGCTGTGCGCAGTTTGCGCCGCTAGCGGAGCGACTGCAGCGATTCCGGCAGCGACAGCAGCGTTACAACAGCGCTGATATTGAAAATACCGACTTATCAGCTGAACAAATAAGCGTTGCCAATTTGCATGGCCCGAGCGACGACAACAACAACAATAACAGCAGTAACAACAACAACTACAACAACAAGCTTAGTAAAACTGCTGCCGTTCGACGTTCAAGCGCAAGTGGTGCAGTTGATGCCACCGCTAGCTACTCAACAGACGCTTTAGAGGAGGCACCTTGGCAGGCTTCTGAGGTTCAGCCGAGTGACGTTGGCAACGACGAGGCAGCGCCTCGACGACGTGTGCTCATCAAGCGGCGCATTGTGCGCTCGACACGCGTCCGCAACAGTGCTGCTCCGCCATCCACATCCGCATCCGCATCGGCCTCACCGCACAGGTCGGCTGTGGGGCGCAAGCAAAAAGCGGATTGTCAGCTCGGCTGGCTGGCAAGGCTGCGCAGTTTCCGTGGCAGCGGCTCAAACAACAGCAATTTAAAGGGCGCCACAACAACGGCTTTTGCACCACATCATTTGGATAGCAACAAGAGCCAAGGGAGCAGCGCTCCAACAACACCCATCATGGCCGTCCTGCGTACTATGAAGCTCAAAGAGCGCCTCGCCATTAGCCTGGGCGCGACGCTCGTGCTGCTCACGCTCCTGCTCATTGTGGACGTGCAAATGGACTTCGGGGTTGCCAACCGCCATCTGCTGCAGCAACAGCATCAAAGGCTGCGCTTTGGCAATAGCAACAACGATTACAACGAGGCCGGCACTGCCGGAGGCGGCGGCCTGCTGCACGAGTTCAAGCGCAAATTTCTGCAAAAGAGGTAAGCAGCTGAGATATCGTTTAGTTTTTCCTCAAGCTCGGCTAATTAAATGTTTGAGAAAAGTTGCTGTTGACTAGACGTGAATTCAATTCATTTACTTTACTCTTAAGGTAAAGTAGATTATATAGGGAAAATTATAGTAAGGGTAGAGCTCATAGTAAGGGAGAACTTTTCCAAGACAACTAATTAATTTAAAGCAAGACAATATAAGAGTACAAGACTGTGCTGCCTTTACAACTAATATATCTTGATTCTTGACATTTGCATTAGATAATCTGTTAATGTTTGCTCAACAATGTGGGTTAGAGTATTTTCAGCTTTGATAGCCTGCAGCTCATCGTTTCGAGAGTTTCTTTTGACTGACTTGCAGTTGATTTATGTGCGCATTCAAGCAGCTTCGCTTGAATGCCAAAGCAACTTCCGGCTTTTATTTTCTGATATACGAGACTCATAAATATCACAATCTTCGAATGGGTTGAGTTTTAATTCAACAATCCCTTGTTAGTTATTCATTCAGCAACGAGAATATGGAGAGCATTGAGCTCTAGGAAATCCATGTAAAAATGCTGCAAAAATATTCTTAAATATATATCGATATATACAGACATCTAGTTATCCTCTAGGCGAGACCTATGCCATTCATTGCTCATCAAGAATTCTCAAATAGCCTTTGCTCTCTTTATATTGCAATGTGGTGACTGGCCTGCTGGATCGTTGGCCAACAGCAGGAGTTACTTATGCGGCGGTCATTGCACCCGCTTAATGATGCACTTCCGCTTGCCGATGCCCGCCATCGCTCGAAAGGACTATTGCACATAATTCAATTTTACAAAATGCAACAAAAGTTGCAATAAAGCACGGTTGCCCTGCCATTAAATCATAAATTGCTGCAAGCAGGCAGACGGCAGCGAGAGCTCGCGAGAATTGGAATTCCAGGCAGCGAGCGCTCGGGCCAGGACATGTCTGCGTTGCTGAAGCCAACAGCAAGCAGGGCATAACAGCTAGCTAAAGCCGCTTTTTATGCTTGCCGTGCTCCCACACACACATGCACACGCACACTAGCGCCAATCGGCCGTCTTGCAATTGCGTTTTTACGCTGACTTCGACATGCTGCTCCTATTTTACCTATGTGTGTGTGTGTGTGTGCATGGCAGCTTTATGCTGCGGCTGGCGGAAGTCAAGTAATAAAACATAAAAGTGACGCAGCAAAACGTAAAACAGGCAGCAAGACACGCTTCCGCCTGAGCAAAAAACTATCGCTAGCAATTCATCCCATGAGATGCAGCAGGTGGCAGCAGCAGCTCCTCTCCGCCGGCTAGGGAACATACATAAAACAGCTCTGTTGTTAGTTGGTAAACATTTAATTAATTCATAAATCGTTCGGTGCTGCCAGCCAAATGGCGGCTATAACTACCTGCTGCGAGTTGGCTGAACTCCGACTATGATATAAGATTTAAGTATAAATCTTCATCAGCTGCTCATCAAATGTTGATTACTTTTGCAAGAATCTAGCCATCATCATGGTAATGCTATAGATACTTTTGGTTACCTACAAATAGATGCAAATGCAAATGCCATTGACTGACTGAGCTCGCGTCCTTTGACCCACCTGGAGAGCACTGCTGACCGACAATGGCATCACTCCGAGCAGCAGGATTGCGCCTGGCTGCTGGCTCTTGGCCAGCATGAAGAGGACAAATCGTTGTTGGCTCGGATTGAGATTGTAGAACGAGATGTTGTAGAGCTCGTACATGAACTTTTCACTCTAAAAGCAGAGAGAAAACATCGTGATGTTAAACTGATTGCAAAGCTTTGGCTGAGACATACGCAGTTCTCGAGTATTGTGCCTAGAATGCAATAGAGGTACATATTGGGCACCAGCACACAGAAATAGCAATATCCTCCGAGCCAGTCGCTGGTGAGCAGCGAGAAGATTGTGATGACAATGCATACGGCAGAGGTTGTCACCTGCACAGAGACCAACACGGAGAACATGTCATTGCACTGGTCGATGAACCTAGGGGAAGGCACAGCTTAGACACGGAACACTTGCTAGATAGAGTAGGCAACCCCTACCTAGTATAGGTCTGATGCCACTTGGCAATGTCGATCAGCTGGGCTGAGGCCTCGAGATGTCTCTCAGCATTCTCCTGCTTGTTGCTAAGCACGTTGAGACGGTCGACCTTCAGCTGTAGGATGTCGGCGTAGACAAAGGATTGCATTAGATATACGATGATAATCATGTCGCCCGTATAGAGACCGAGTCCGCCGAGGATGATGCATGTGCCGTGCAGGCCTTGCGTGGCCCAGGCACCCCACTCGGTGTTCAGGTCTATGCCGGGCAGATGAAAGTGCATGATGAGATATAGCTTGCCCGTTATTATTGAGCCCAGCACTGCTGCGAGGATCATGCCCAGGGGGCCAACCACGTAACTGACGCCGACCACAGTCAAAAAGCGCCGTAGCTTTTGGCAACTGCGCATTAGCACCATGGAGTATCTCTCATCCTCTTCCTTTTCGAAGTGAGTATAGTTATGCTGCATCTGTATGTAGAGCTTGGACACCGTGGGTGCCGAGGAGACTCCCATGTATATCTTGGCGCAGGCCTGCACGACGCTGCCGCTCATGGCACTGGCCTGTATCATGAACATCCAGTTGCCGTGGAACTCCTTGGCTATCGTTGAAATTGTGAAGATGAAGTACATACTGATCAGCACTACTACGGTGATGGTAATGGCATTGAAGTGATAGTTCGGATCGTAGACATCGAACCCGACGCAGCTCGTTATGAAGCGCACAAAGCGCATTATTTCATTGAAATATTCGCTGGGTTTCGTCGACATTCTGAACTCGATTAGCTCTACGTAATGCCAGCGCCATATATTTATACCTCTATCAATTTGGGATTTTGGCCAGCTGCAGTTGACACTGTCCGCTGCAGCTTTGGGCATTCTCACGGCTTGCAAATTAGCGTTACATGTCCTGCTCAAGAGACAGGAGCGAGGCGGCAGATTGCATTGCTCATGTCACGTGACAGTTTAATGAGCAATCGTTGTCATTAGCTTAATTAAATGACACATCACTCTGCGTGTCAATGGCCATAGTTCTCCCTCTGTTTGTTAGCTACGAGTGAGATTTGACGAATGGGCCATAGAATAAATATTATAAATGTTGGCTTAATTCTTTTAATAGAGTAAATAAATCAGATCACAGTTATTAGCCTTAACAGATATTATTACAAATTATTATAAAGCAAAAGTTAACATGTTTAGCATATTTTATCTTTAATCAGGTATGGCCGCATAGCCATAATTTGTTGGAAAACCTTAATAATTCCTGAAATAATGCCTGAACAAATAATTTTAATATGTAGAAAAATTTTTTTACTATTATGAAATTCATGTCTTCCTTTTTTTTTTTTTGAAATGTGAAGCCTTTTGTTATGTAAAAAATTCTTGAATTACATTAAAATAACATAAAAGCCCAAATTTAAACATAAATAATGCGAGCATTATTATTATTTTTTTTTTAATTTTAAACCCATGCTATTCGCAAAAAATAGTTATCAATATTCTTATAATTAATTATCGGATTTAAGCTGTTTTTAAATATAAACTTCAAGCATATGTTATGATAATTAAATTTGCAAAATAATATTTTAAAAAAGTCTTTAGAACTATAGAAATCGTTTAAAATAAATGTAAGGCAAAAGCTCAGATATGTTTCATACTAAAACATTATGTCAAAAATGCTAAACAGCTTTATTAAATAATATCCAACTGCTTAATTCACGACAGACATTCATAGATTTGCTTTGATCACCTATCCATCAATTCAAGATATTACCGTAGCTGACCATTTCAAACGAATGCACCTGAGAGCTTAGCCAGCTGCATGTGACACAACTGCACGTTTGATATTTGTATTAAATGGGATTTAATTAGCCGCGTTCCATTACCAGGTTGATAGAAGGCCATGGAGGGCCCTGAACTGCGCCACGCCTGCACACACACGTGACAGTTTAATGAGGAAACTTTGTCATTAGTTTAATTAAGTGCAGGCCACATCGAGCATCGATCCGTGCAGCGCATCCTGCTCTGCTGCTTTGTTGCCTTGCTGCATTACATTGTTGATGCTAAACAAAGCCGATGGCCGGGCTACCACGTGGCCAGTTAGCCGCAAACCCATAAGCTGCTCCAGCCAGTCAAAATCAATGCGGTATGTTGCATAAAGAAGCGAGTGGAGTTTCAGCTTTGCTTGATATATATATTGTATGGATGTATGCATATATGCGTGCAACAAAGTAAACTGATTGCCACATATAATGGCATTATGTGGCATTATTCTGTGTGCCTTGGCATCAAAAGCGTGAAATCTGCAGAGACTCGTTATGAGTCCGCCGGCAAAGACAGCGCCAGGATCTGTTGCGGCTGTAAAGTTTAAAGTATGCCGGCAACTGTTAATTGAAAAAGTTTCACACTCCAGACGGTGTTGCACATGTGCGCACCTTCTGAGTGACGCCCCAAGACACATAATCCAGAGCCAGAAGGCACATGGGTTGAGCCGAGAAATTGTGGCACACTTAAAAATTTAAACGACAATCCACAGAGTTTTGTGGCTGAGACGAAGCAATTTGCAAGACTTGATTTGCGCCAATGCTCAGCTGCAAAAAAAAACCCTTCGTTTAATGATGCGACAGCAACAACATCGACCAAGAGCAGTCCCCACTTGTTGTAGGCATATTCGGAATTTCGTTTTAATGACCAAAGAGAGCAGCACTCAAATTACGGGCGAAGCACACACGAGCTAACTTTTCGAATATTGTGATAACGAGCAACGGGCTGAATGCAATCTCAGCTCTTGCTCCAAGGTCAATACGAGCCAAACAACAGCAACTGTGATGAATTTACTAGAAAATCTAATAGACTGAGCTTAGTTTTCTTGAAAGGCAGTTGAGGAGACAGAGAGACAGATGCATATGAGTTTTATGCACGGAAAATTCTGGTCAACTTAGGCCTGTATAAGAGACGTAGCTAAATTGCAGCAAAGCCAGGCAGAGAGGCAGCGCTCAAGTGTCACTTGTGTGCGGCAATTAGCGTACGTACGTTGATTCAGCAGAGAGACTCATGTTTGTTTGCCTTCTTCTGTTGCAGCAACTCTTCTGGCTCCAAGGAGGCCTCCACGCCGGCACAGACGTCGGGCGGCGGCACGACGAGCGGGCAGGAGGGCGTTATCGCTGGACCCTCGCAGTCGACGCGCAAGCCGAAGCCGCACGATCGGTACCTGGACCTGCAGAAGCTGCTGCTGAGCGATGAGTATATGCACGTCATAGTCGATAATGAGCCAGATGTGACGGTTAACAATCCGACGCTCGGCGAGCTGCTGCACCGTCAAGTCGGGTAAGTGATATTGAGTCGTTAGATGGCATTGTTAATGGCAGACGGCGCGGAAGTTGGGCGAAAAATTCAATTTCCCTTGAGCGGAAGACATAATGCTTAGTGTTTTACCTTCTTGCTTACCTTCGCACTTTGCTTTGCATTGGCAGATTACGGTTTCACTTACACAAGACACGCGCGCCCGCTCTCTCTCTCCCTCTCAGACTGCTCCACTTGAGAGACAGCCACCTGAACCACCCACCCAACCTCAGCGCCCATCAAACTACATAACTTTTCAGCCTGCCTCTGTGGCAGGGCATACGATTGAAGAAGCAGTTACGGTTCCTTTTGGCTTTGGCTGAAATTGAAATGATTTTTATTGAAATTTACGCTCCATTTACGTGACACGTTTACGTTTTAGATATTTGCTCTAACGTTAACGTTGCGCCCCCCCATCTATTTTCTCATAAGTGTTGCTTGATTGTCGTTGCTGTGTGGCTGAGACGTTGTTGTTGTTGTTGTTGTTGCCATTGTTGACAACGATTGCATGCCTGATGCCATTCGCTGATAACACTGATGAGATTTTAGCGCTGCGTAACAGTACTTGTCTCAGCAGTGCGTATACGTAATTTTATATGAGCGCAATCAAATAAAATTGCAATAAAGAAATCAATGCGAATTGCGTACGTACGCACTCGCACTCCACTGCCAATTTCCTCAGCTCTTATTTAAGGCAACAGTGGCATTTCCTGCTCTACAAATTCATTTCAATCCAATGACAAGTAATCAGCTTACGTTGCCACGCTCGCACCACCGCCACCACCGCCAAAAAATGTGCAACACAGTTTTGGCAGTCTTTATCAAAATTGAAAACGTGGCGTATGAGTAATTTCATTTGCTCGCATAGTTGGCACACTCACACAGTGAAAGCAGGAGCGAGAGGAAGAGGGAGGGCGAGAAAACCAAGTAGAAAAGTAAGTAAAATAAAAGAAAATTGGAAAAATGCAAAGTGGTTAAAACTTGTCAAGCTGAAAGTATGTTGTTCCTGTCGGTGGGTCGGTCTGTCGGGAGTTCGCTTTGTGGGCGTTGGCATTAGCATAAAATGCTTGATTTTCTAATTTATCGCACATCACCGAAACGGAGCCAAATGTTTTTTGCGCTGCACGTAGCACAAATGCAAATTTCATTAACAAGCGAAATGGCTTGCAGTAAACTGAAAGTGCTCTAGCTAAAGATTGCTCGAAGGGGAGATACTCTGTAGCCGTTTGCAATTGGATTAGATGTCAGATAATGCATTCTCCTCGCATAAATTAAATTTAATATAGTACATCTACATATCTGGCGCAGTTCTTCAATATGACAGTCGCAATTAGATCTGCCGAAGGGTTCTCCTCTTACAGCCTCCATCAGTGATATCTCATTAAAATGCCGTCTCACTCGCTGGCTCTGCTGGCAGACGCGTGCCTAGCTCGTGCGGCTTGCCGCAGCTCTGTCAGCAGTTTTGTGACAGCAGCACGCTGCTCAGGTGCAGCAAAAAATAGTAGAAGAGGATGAACAACAAAAAAATGCAAATGTGCCTAAAATTTACAATATGAAATACGAAATGCGAGATGCGAGATACGAGATACCGGAGTCTATGGCAAACAGTCTATTGTGTACTAACGGTGGCCAGGTGAGCGGCTAGGCTCACTTTATCGGCTAAAATATAATTACGAAAATCTTGCACGTTTTCGTGTTGTGCTGCCTCT